ATTGACTTATTGATGAATGGACTGTTTCGTTGGTTGGATTATTGATTGATCGATGGATTGACGGATTGAATGAGTGCTTTATTGATTGATTGTTTAATTCATTAATTCATTAATCAATTTCAAAGTTATTCATTTATTTATTGTTGATTGATTAAGGACTAGTTGGTTGATTGATTGATTTATTGGTTGATTGATTGATTAATTGATTGCTTGCTTGATTGATTAATTGATTGGTTGCTCCATTGATTGATTGATTGATTAATTAATTGATTGATTGATTGATTGATTGATTGATTGATTGATCGATCGATACGATATATTGCAGTTCTAATTCATATTGTAATCATAATTCCAGATATTTGTTGGTAACAAAGATCGACAATCAGTAGTTAGACACAGTTTCAATGAAATAGAAGCCAAATCAGTTCGAATTCGCCCCTTGGCATGGGATGGACTAACGAATTGTATGCGAKTAGAACTATATACCTGCGACAAAGGTGAATCTCATTTTGCTTCAGAGTAAGYGTGTTGAACGTATGAATAGATGTTATAACAAACACATCTTACTCGCATTTAATTCAACTGTTTTCTTTAGTGTCTTCAGTCTGGAATAGTGTGATTCACTATTAAATGTTTCATGGGTTTAACGCCCTCACTGATTTTATGATGAATTTCGTTTCAGCCAACACTTCGACTGCAGCTAAAAAGACATTAGGTAAGTCATGGTTTTTGTAAATGAAAACAACACATTTCCATGAATGAATGGTTGAATGAATGCTCTTTTAACGTGAATATTTCTCTTGCATCAGACTCAGAGGAAATGAAACCTATAAAGCAAACGAAAATCACGACAATAGATGGAACAGGTAAGACGAAAAGAATCATTAGGCAGGACAGTGTTACGATGAACGGACAATGATGAATAGAATGAGTGATTAATCGTTGAAATGATTGATTGACTAGTTGATTGATMGATTGATTGATTGGTTAAATGATTGATGTTATGTTTGATTAAACAATCTATTAGGTGTATTGTTTTGATATAATGATTGATATTTGTGTTTCTATGATCTGTTGTTTTCAGTTTTGAATAAAGCCGTTGTTTATCTCAAGTTCGAGACTATTAARGGTCTAGACACCATTGCTGACCAAACAGACCTTCACAACGATGCGCGTATCGTCAACTTCGCTCGTTTATCTCGATTTAGTGAAAGGTGTGGTCGAGGAGTTGACCTTAATGGCGGCGACGTCCTRCTCAATGGAGAACACTTRATTAACAAACCACGCAAAGCTGTAACTATAGCAACATGGATTAAACTATACCATACCGATGGATATAATTCTATATTTGATACAATAGGAGGTAGTAACTCCACACATACTATGGGTCAATACCATTTGGAGGTAAATAACGGCTCGGTACGGTGGTTCCATAGGAATGAAAAAGGCATTGTGATATTCAACGTCTTAACACAAGTGATTGTACCACCAAATATATGGACACACGTGACTTCCACCTATGACGAAACGTCCGGTTACGCCCAAGTCTTTGTGAATGCTAAATTTGTGACGAAGAGGGAGGGGGTGGGGGTGTTGTCGCAGGATTGGGAAGGCCGCGCAGGGATTGGTGAGCATAAGGGAGATCGTCTTTTAAGCGGTGCTGTGGATGAGTTTTTTATTTCAGACAAAGCTCTGTCACTTCATGATATTAAAAAACTGATGAAAAGATGTGAGTTTGAAAAAGGTAAGTACTCACTAATTTGATATACTTGTATGGATTCATGTAGCTCCTAGATTGTTGAATACTCTTTTTTTCTCCTTTCATCGTAATTTTCAATAGTCATCTGCCATCTTGATACATGTATCATTACCATGATGCACTTCGTGAAACGAAGCATGACCTCATTAGGCAAGACCATTTTTTCCCCGAGATGCATCACGGGTACAGCATCTCAGACAACCGATTCCCATGTGTTTACTTAGATAAGTCTTTTTATAGTGAAGGTTTGCTGCTGAAGTGCCCATTCATTCCAATGGAGATTTCGCCTTCTTTTATTCATATTTTCGAGTTTTCTTTCTTTTCTTTTTTTTTTCTTTTTTTTCTTTTCTTTCCTTTTTTTCTTTTTTTTTTTTTTAATCATTCTTTATATTTATATTTTTCCCAGTAGAGTGAATTCATTAGGAAACCAACCAACTCATCGGCAGACTCCCAGCTGAATTATTAAAGATCATTCATTCTTTAAATAATATGATTTTTTTTATTACCAGAATGTTTTTCTCCAATTGGAATGGAATCTCTAAAAATAAACGATGATCAAATCACTGCTTCGTCCGTGTTACAGCCACACAAACCATACTATGGACGTCTGAACTTAATTTCATTCTACGATGACATCAAGAAGAGCGCTTGGTGCTCAGACGACGACGATAAAGAACCCTACCTCACAATTGATTTAAAATCAGAGAAAACCATCTCAGGGGTGGCCGTGCAGGGAGCGTCTGTTTACGATAGCTATGTGACGAGTTATAAACTGTGTTACAGCGACAACGGCAGGAAATATGACTGTGTGAAGCATAATGGCACGACAGAGGTACGAACAGGGTAGTCATGAATGTTGTGTATCATGCCAGAAAACAGAGCGGATTCATAGAGCCTTGCATTTATTCCTGAGTTTACATCCAACTGACTCTTGCACAATTTCACACAACATTTATACTAGAATAATTAATTACACGGAAGTATGTATTCCCTAGTGGATACATAGCAATGAAATCCTTCAAAAGTCCTGGAATTGAAAAAGTGAAAAATCTCTAAAACTCCTGAAAAACTCCTTGAATCTGATGACATGTTGTTTTTAAGCTTTTAGATTAAAATTTGGCTATTTTTGAAAAGCTTCACTAGAAACGTCCGCAAACATTTCAAAAATTCAAAAATATTCCTTGAAAATCGCATTTTTGTGCTTAAAAAGTACTTGAAAAGTCCTGGAATTTTACAGTGAAAATGTACCACGAWCCCTGTAAGGAGTAGACAGTCATTTTTTGTCAAGGAGCGCGCAGGCCTGAGCCATATCCTTTTAGGCTGTGAAAAAGCTTATTTCCTGTGTTATTTCATTCAGGCTTTAATGGGTAGTGATGATAAAGATAACATCAAGATTCATTGGTTGAATAAGTTTTTTGATGGTCGATTTGTAAGGTTTTATCCCTTGTCTTGGTATGGTGAGAATATTTGTATGAGGGTCGAGCTATATGGTTGCATTACAGGTAAGTAAAAGTAATAAAAAAACAGTTTTTATCCTGAAGGTAATCTTTTACTTATTTACACCACAAAAACCTTTAATATTGAATACTAGGATACTGCACTATATCAAGACCGAAATGCATTGTTGATTTTGAATTTCACTTAAGGTGTTACCAAACGACTGTTCCTAAAGTGAATTGCCTTCCATCGGTACAGAGCTTGTATAGTTACTAAAATCAACGAAAACCTGTTTTACCGCGCATATGCATTACGACATCGGAATACATTTTACAGCCTCACAGTATTTCCAGTACTTTTCCTAGATCTTCTTTTGATCAAGTCTTACTCAATCCTCAACAAAAACAACAACAGAAACTCGAGAAAGTAAATGTTTTCTAAACAGTAGCGTATGGCCTAAACTTCATTTTTATTTTGAACAACAAAAACAGTTTTCGTTTATTTTCAGGACTCCTTTCTGACAAGGTACACGAGCAACATGGTAAAGAAACCAATCCAACCCAAACCAACGCATCAAACTGTAGTGTGACTTGTGGAAAAGGATCATTCAAGCAAATTAAACACTGCAACGAAGCTAATACAATCCATAAGTGCAGTGCGGGGCAGAAAACGTACGAAGACCGTACAGAGTGTATTCAACCAAGCTGTCCAGAGTGTTTCACACCAATGCGAATGTCCAATCAAACTGATCAGAGATTTTATGAAGCGATGTACAGACCTCACAGTAGCCAGTCTTTCGCGAACGGTATGGATGGTAATGTTATTCTAATGACGGATGTATGGTGCGCTGATGGTACTGATAAGAAGCAGTCTTTTCAAGAAATAGATCTTGGCAAGCCCATTAAAGTTACAGGTGAGTTTTGAGTGGGACAGGACTTTGAAAGGATCACAAGATTAACTATATTTCCTTGTTTGTTGAATTTTCGAAAATGAAACTCCTTATAAAGAAAAGGTGTCGTCACATTTGTCCTCCATTATTGTCAATTTTTATTTCATTTCTCTTTCTCCTTCAATTCATTTTCTCTTTATTCCATATCACTTTTCTCCTTCCTTTCTTTTCCCATTTCCTTATCTTTCTCTTACACTCYCCGCTTCCTGTTTCTTTCTGATTGCATTTTCTCTCTTTCTACCTTGTTCCCTACCTTCCTCTTCCCTCTTTCTCCGTCAGTACTTTTCTCTTCCCGGCCTCCCTCAGTCTCTTCCATCCTATTTTCTCATTTCATCAGACCGTAGCAGTTTGTTAAGCAATACTGTGTAGGGTTATATTTTATTATTAGAAATGGGACTGTTATCTCTGCATTGTCGTCATTATCAATATCGCATTGTAATCTCTTTTTTAGGGATTGGTATCCAAGGTGATATAACCGCAGATCGCTGGGTTTCGTCTTATCGTGTTTCATACAGTATCAAAGGAAATGTGTGGAATAACTACACAGAATCTTATCGATTGAAGGTAAACTACGTTTAATACTCCTATTAATACTGTGACATAAGCAGAAACACAAGCAAAAAGCAATTTACATGGTCATAGTCAGAAGCGTAAGACCAAGCATAAGGAAGTCAACAAGAAACAAAGAAAATCACTTCTTGATCTGATTGTAACACAGCGTACTGTGATATTTCACTATTTTGACTCTATTTTTGTGTAGAAATTTAGAGGAAATGACGATAAGAAGACCATATCTATACGTCACTTAAAGCACCCAATAACAGCGAGATACGTACGTATTATCCCTCTGACATGGCATGGTGGGACGATATGTATGAGGACCGAGATATTTGGCTGCGATCGTTCAGGTATTGATTGATTAAATGACTTACCTTTGTCTAATAGTCTCCTTCACGGGTTCCCTGTGCCGTATATTTGCATCTAAAGGAGACGAACTTTGAGCTGTGTATAATAGTCTGTAGGTTTCTATCATTGCACGCTCAACGGTCGTCTGCCTTAAATGCAAAGGCACGGGACAGGGAACCCGTGAATGAGACGATTGTGCGTTCGATTCACTTTGGTAATGGAGTTTTGATGTAAGCGCATACGACTGAATGGATGGATGAATGGATGGATGAATGGATGGAAGAATGGATGGATGAATGGATGGAAGGGTGATTTCATGAAACGATGGACACCCTACGGATTGTCTAACGGACAGACAGACTGAATGAATGAATAAACCCTTTTAGCGATATCTTAACGCTGTGTTAGCCTCAAAACCATGTAATAAATACTTTATTCACTAACAGCCCGTGCAAATACAAGAGATTCATGAGTATAGAAGACAATGGAAATATTTGAAATTTAACGAGTTTTCTCTAAATTTCAACTAATAATGGATGAATAAATGATAAGACTGCATATGCCAATAAAAGACATACCGAGGTGTAATTAWCCAAACAGACGGATGGATGGGTGAATAACTGTATAAACTGCAGTTGATTKTTTGTATATCTCGTGACATTTTAGGTTCTGCAGTTCATAAAAAATCAAAGCCTAAAAAAGATGCRATGCAACATAATCACGAATCCAAACCTTCAAAAACCAATCACAATGCAATAACAAAGTCTGCACCAAAAAAGACAATCAAACTAAGTCCACAGAAACAAGCTGTTACCAAAATTGCTGCTAAACACTCATACGTTGGTAAACCAAAAACACTAAATGCACTTGCTTTGCCACAAGCAATTATTGTACCAATAACAAAAACAAGAGAATCTGAATTCCAAGTAACACTCAATCCAAAGAAAACTCATCATGTTAYACTAATTCCTATTGCGCATGTGCAGAAACCTGGTTCTGCCATACCATACAAAACACAAAGTATCCCACATGGATTAGCAACACATCTATTCAAAGATCACTTGGCTCCTGTTACGACATATCCTCATAAAACTGGTTATTATGCAGTTAATCCGGTTTATAGTCCACCTAACGGAATGGCAAATATGTTAACAAATCAGCGGACCTCAAGTGGACGARTTTCAAATTRCAAACCTCGAGTCCAACAAAGTTTTAATAATTTCGCATCGGTATCTCGTGTTAGACCTGGTCTATATGGTGTTGATAATTTAGGACGTACACCAGGAACARTACTCGAGGCTGATACCAGGAAATACTCACCTCYAGCTCKGTCACTTCCTGGAAATCTGCGTCACGCAARACAACCTCAGACAAGAGTAACGCAGTATCTCTCTCCTGCGCAACTTCAAAGACCAGGATATTCAAAAAGCGGTTATAAAGCAGCTGTYCCAATGCAAAGAGAGYTCATTCACCCACCTGTTGTTAATGYGAYAAATGCGAAGGTGACTSCACAATTTGTACCAAGAAATCCTTCATTGACATCGRCCTCATTACAACAGAAACACGTGACAACGTTTATTGCGTCGACTTTAAAGAATAAATACAAGGACTCCAAAGCGCATCATTTTCTTGACGAGAGACTACTCCCCAAAGGTAWACTAAAACAACAATCTGCYGCAAAGATGGACTCGGTCAATCCAGTCGTCAACGATTATAACTGGTCATCGTTCACTCCCTGTACTGTCACGTGTGGYTCTGGCGTGAGGGAGCGTTACAGGAAGTGTAARGCAATGGAGTGTCTGGCTGAAGGGACTGAGATTCAAGTCCTGCCCTGTTATAATGTTCCTTGTAAAGGTACCAGTACGGTTACCAGTACCATCTTGAAATGTAGCAGTATRTTTACATCGAGACAACCGTTGAGCGTGCAATAATAGATACCTGAATGCTGAATTATCATTGAAAGTAATAATTTAGATGATAGATACCTGTGAATAATTGTCTGTAGGTGTGAAAGAAGGTTTCTATCATTGCACGCTCAACGGTTGTCTCACTTCGATGCAAAGGCACGACTACCTTTCAAGATGGTAACAGGTAACCATGAAGAAGACTATTGCAAAAATTAATGATAAAAAATATTTACTAAAAATATTATTAAAAATATGTCTGGTAATGAATGGCTTTGCCCAAATATGTCTCATATTTATTTTATTCTATTTTCTTGACATTTTCAGCTACCACAGAGTGGACAGCATACACTAGTTGTAGCGTTTCCTGCGGGTCTGGAATAAGGACAAGAACACGAACATGTGATGGCAACGACTGTCCAATTCCTGGAAAAGAGATTTCAACTATACCATGCAAAAAGCCAGATTGTCCAGGTACCTAATAYACACAGTATTTACCATAACAATCCTATACTGATTACTGGATTTTATCTTGGACGGCGCTCGCACGATCGAAATCCTTCGCCAAATCCCCTACACCAACCCTCCCCAGAAACATCGCTGGGTTTACATCTATAATATTTGATGAAGTTACAAGATTAATTGAACGAAAAGTAATATATATTTTCTTGTGTAGTCTTGAATTTAGACTTCGAGACGATCGATGGTGAAGTAGTGGTGGACAAGTCAGGAAAAGGGAACAACGCTTTCATGAGAGAAGAAACACGTATTTTACCATATAAGGGCATCTGTGGACATCARGTAGACTTGGGTTACCATGGAAATCTTATATTACAAGAAGAGACATTTAGACAAAAGCCCAAATATGGTATTTCCATTGCATGCTGGGTAAATTTGCAAGGATCGTCCAGAGGAAGTCATTCTTTATTTAGTACGTCTAAAGTCGTCAGCGAGAGCCAGGTTTTAGGTAATTATAWATCAATACCTGACTCGCCCCCAGTCGTCTCGCACGCCTTTTGGGTGACCGAAGACATAYCCTTTGCTTACCACCACTTATCACTTCTATCATTATATATACATAGGTGGCTATCACTTCGAGGTCGACGATGGACGAGTCCGCTGGTTTCATCGCGGGCGTCTAGAGCAACCAGTATTTAGTGTTATTACAAGTGACGTCATACGACCTAACACGTGGTACCACGTGGTCGGGACATATTCATCTGATACTAGCAATGCAAAGGTAACAAGTGTTTTTTCTCATATTTCACCAATTCGATATCTATCTACCCCTACATTTCTTTCGTTTATCCATTCATTTATTCATTCATTCATTCGCTCATCTGTTCATTTATAACTCATTCCTCTTCTCTTCATATTTCACTCATTCACCGCCATTTCTTTCCTTCATCCTTCCTTGCATCCATCATCATCYTTATATCATTGCTCGTCTGTGTTTCTATCCAAATAATCCATCATTCCATGTACGTGTTTGTGACATTCAATAAACTAATTATACACCACCGTCTATCACCCTTCTSCACTCTTTATCACTGACTATCATGTAATCATTATTGGTAATCAACTATATCAGTACATAGCATTAACCGTCATTAGTCGTCACCGAACATCACTGGATATCAAGGGCAATCGTTAGACGTTATTGAACATCGACCATCATCAAACATCATCATTAGAAGTCACTGACCATCACTGACCATCACTGACAATAAGCCATTTTTGTGTAATTCAATCATATGTCAATATCGTAGGTTTACGTAGATGGTAAACTTCAAGCTTTCTCAAAAGGAACTGGCGATGTATTGGACGATGACTGGGGTTACAAYGCAGCTGTTGGAAGTTTTGATTTRGATGGACGGTATATYCGAGGAAAAATGGACGATTTTTATATGTATGACTATGAGATTTCACCTGAACAGATCAAAAAACTCTTAAGTATCAAATGTCCACAGCCTAAGAAYAAAGAAGACCATCATTTTCAGTTCTGGCGGTAAACGTTTTGGTTTAAATGGYTAGAAAAGTCAAAGAGAGAGKAAATGAGAACTCTTCATATGAAAACTTGGARGGACTAGATGCTGAAAGCGAACACAAAGGGTACTCTAGAGAAATTTGAATATACTGGACTTTCGCTTTGAAAGAGAGGTTTTTTTTCAACARCAAATATCATTTCCACCACACTATACTATCTATTATGCTAAGGTTGGTGGAATTGGGTGAAAAAGATAAGAACTGGCTGTTACTTCAAGGAAACCACGCGATTAGATCACGTGACAAAGGCTCCTTTAGGAATGCATTATGCGCATTATGTCAGGATTCTGGTCACTCGCATTGCGACAGACGAGGTAATGGAGTAATGGGACATACAATCGAGAAAGACCCGGGAGACAAGATGCAGAAGGCTGTCCGCTTTCACTCTCGGACTTCCACCTCCCCACCCCTCCCTCCCTCCCTCCCTCCCCCTCCCCCATATTGAACTTCGCGATCGTTGTCAAAGTTTATTTTATGTAAAGAATGTAGATTTAAAGCATTCGTGCCTGCTGCTATAGATGAGGTACTGAGTAACWAGGGACTTAGGGGCGATTCATTACAACTTTGAGGGGGAGGTTGGAAGATTAAAAAAAAATCTGCACTAAAGGTTTTGTAAATTTACAAAAAAAAACAAGCGTGCGCCTATAGTCCTAAACATTTTTTTTGGACAAAATCTCCTCAAAGTTCTAATGGATCGCTCCTTATAATGGGAGGTGCGCTTCTCTCCAGCAGGGCACAGGGAACCAAGAAAAAAAAACGGAAAAAGGCTGCAAGGAGAAGAGGATACTTCCTCCCCGGAATATACCCACTCCAAAAGGAAAAAAAAATGCTTATGATTTTCCATCGTCATTAAAACACCTCTCAAAGCCTGTTTTCGTTTACTTGACCTGTGCAGGGGCTTGTGCAGGAGCTATGCACCCCTGTTATGAATTACTTTGTAAGTTCCACCTCTGTTATAAATTACTWAGTAGACTACAAGTTAGCGTTAACTAGAMTAGAYTGCTCGCACTTAAACCATGCAACTGTACAAAATCTAAGTAGTACTAATTTGTAGTAAAAGTGGACTTGAAGAAAGACAGTAATGAATGTTACATTTYTATCAATTCGAAATTTAATTTGCTTACGACAAGCAAGATTTACTAAACACAACTAAATAGTGCTATTTAGTTTTATACAGCTGCATAGTTCAAGTGCGATCACTCTACCTATCGTTGATAATGAGCACATCATGGCAAGTGTAAATGGCATTGAAATGGACATATTTAGACGATTAAGGGTTTTTTCTTAATAAATTATCTTTATAACAAAGGTTTTGCGTGTTAACTATGTAAGACGATCCGCCCTTGACATGCTTCAGACCGCCCTTGACATGCTTTAGAACGCCCTTGACATGCTTTAGACCGCCCTAGACATGCTTCAGACCGTCCTAGACATGCTTCAGACCGCCCTTGACATGCTTCAGAACGCCTTAGACATGCTTCAGAACGCCTTAGACATGCTTCAGACCACCGTTCACATGCTTCAGACCGTCCTTGACATGCTTCAGACCGTCCATGACATGCTTGAGAACGCCCTTGACATGCTTCAGACCACCCTTCACATGCTTCAGACCGCCCTTGACATGCTTTAGACCGCCCCTGACATGCTTCAGACCGTCCTTGACATGCTTCAGAACGCCCTTGACATGCTTTAGACCGCCCTNAAAACGTGCCATAATTAGTTTGAATGGCTGAACGTGCCGAATTAGTTTGAATGGCTGAAATTCGGGGAATCTACCGGGTCACGAGATCAGATTAGAAACCGGAAGTTCCGCTTTGCTAGTCTCAGCATACACCGTGGGGAATGAGATCCTTGCAGACAAGAACATAAAGTACATCAAAAATCCTGCTTMAGAACAGTCTTGCCTCAAGGTAAGAATCAAACAACGTATAATACAGATATTAATTCATGAATACTTGACGTTTATGAATCCCAATGAATACATTTTCAAAGKAAACTATTAATTACCTTGATGRGTCACGCTSTTATTCTGCAGCGAGTCAAACTYATTCCAGCGTGGTCTGTCAGTATGATAATATGCTTCCTATCTTCTCTGTTCACCAAATTACTTTGAGTACAAAAATGAGAAAAGTTGAAAATCATGATTAATATTCCTTGAACAAAACAAATACCAATGCTATTAGACTCGATAAGCATTGTGAATACATGTATACTAGTATCTTAAGCAAATCAGAACATGCCTCCAAGCAATTATTTTAGGAAACGCCACGCTATAGAACTGAAGGAAGCTTTCGATATTGATAACAGGAAGTCAGCTGGTTTGCATGGGTGAAAATAGGTTACCACCCCACCCCTCCCCCCTTCTGATTAACTGACTGACTTATCGATTGAAAGGTGGATACATAGATATACTGTTTGATTGATTGACTCATTGATTGATTGTGTTGACTGATTGATTGACTGGATGATTGATTGATTGCTTGATTGATTGATT